GGCGGGCCGGGGTGTGCCCCGGGCCGGGCAGTTTCTCCGGCTGGCAGGAATTTTGCCCGCGGATCCTGTCGATGGGGCCAGAACTGCTGCTTCTCACACGGCAGAAAGTCAGCCCAGATCTGCAGGTATTCCCAGAGCGGGTTTTGCAGCTATGGGGAAAGGTGCAGGTAAGAAGCAGCAAGGAAGGGGGGGGAACCTGATGCCACGGGGTTGGACTGGGAGCCAGGGAGTCTCATGCTGGGCTAATGGGACCTTCTGTCTGTCTGTCCCTGGGCTCCTCCAGCTTCCAGCACGTTCAAGAGCTGCTACCGCCGGTGAGGCCCCGCTATGTCCCCTTGCCCCCTGCCCGCTGGGGCCCGGAGCCCAGCAGAGCACCCACCCAAGTGGCCCCAGCCCGGGGGGGAGGCCGGGGCAGCCCCACTCATCCTGTCCCTAGCGTGAAGCACATGGCCTTCAAGTTCTCAAGTATGAAGGTTGAGGAGGAAGAGAAAGATAAGAACGCCCCAGCACTTGATAATGTCCCTTCTGGGGCCATCGGTGGAGAAGTCGCCCCCGCAGGAGCCTCAGGTAGGTTCTTGGGACCAGCAGGGTGGAGGATCCCGGGGTGGTCATGGTGGAGCATCCTGTGCACGTGTGTTTTGGTTTCGCTGGGATAGAATCAAACTTTCTGCTGGGAAAAGCTGCGTTTTTGAGCAGCCCGCAGCCCTGCTCCGGTGAGAACAGAGTTGATAAGACACGTTGTTTTAGTTTGTCGCCAGCCGTGGTATGTAGGTTTCCCTGGTGATCAAGGTCTTCAGCAGCGACCCGGGCCAGCACCGTCACGCACTCTATAAACTGGAAAGTTCTCGAGGGGGTGGTTTCTCGGCTCGAAGGTCTCCATCCCTGGGGGATGTCACCCGTCCTGCTCCCCAGCCCTCCTCGGGGTCTCCTGCTGCTGGTCGTGCTGCGGGAGCTGTGGGGCTCCCGGTGTTTGAGGAGGGGAACTCGGTGTATTTTGCCTTGGCTTTTAAATCTGTTTCCGTCTGAACCCGACGGGTTCCCTTCCCTTTTCCTGCTTCCCCATCCCGGGTGGGGAAGAGCCCTCGGGTCACTGACCCAGGACAGTTTCTCCCCCCAGCCGCCACCTTTTCACCCGCTGGGGCTGGAACAGCCCGAACGTCAGGGAATCAATCGGGTTTGGGCTGGAAAACACCTTCGGGGCCATCACGTCCAACCCTTGAGACCCCGGCTCTGCGGGACCCCCTTTTTCCCGCGCGACCCCCCCCTTTTTTTCCCCGCGCCATCCTCAGGCCACGCCCCCTTTTTTTTGGGACACGCCCACCTGCTGTTTCGGTGACGTCACCGCTCTCGCGCGACCCGCGGGGCC